CCAGGCCGTGTGTGTGTGTGGGGGAACCGGTGTATCTGTACACCTACAGGTCGGTGTCTATGTATACATTATGTGCGTAACTGTGTGTACTTACACATCATCATATTTCAACGAAATACACATCTATATGTCTGCAACTGTGTAGACATATGTATAACATTGTACGTATGTTTGTCTGTGTATGTCTGTACGGGCGGATGCATACGTGCATGTATGCATGTATGCATGACTGTATGTATGTCTGTATGAAAGACTGCCCGAAAAAGGTCTCCGAGACTGCCCATGCGCCCCAGGAGTGGCTCCAAGAAGGGCCGAGACAGGGGACCCGAACGGGCATGTCGACCACTGGGCCCCAGGAGGCCCTCAGGCGAGCCCACGAGGCCACAAGTGTTTTTTTTTTTTTTTTTTTTTTTTTTTTTTTTTTTTTTTTTTTTTTTTTTTTTTTTTTTTTTTTTTTTTTTTTTTATGAAGCCCCTGAGAACGCCCCCGCAGATCCTGCGGGGCGCCCCACCCAGACGGCGCGACTTCGCCCGATCAGCCCACGAAGCACTGCGTGCAGCGCGCGCCCACGTGTGAATCGCTGGCCACGTCCGCCGCCACCTGGAAGTCCAGCTCGCCCACCAAACGCCGCGTGCAGCGCTCGCTCGCGCGGGAGTCGCTGGCCTCGGAGCTCTGGGCCCAGCGCGCCTCCCGCAGGCAGTGGCTTACCCGTCGGGGGGTGCTGGCTTCGCGGAATACCGCCGCGCCTCTTGCGGCTGTCTGCCCCCGCCACCGCGCCCTTCTGCGGTGGCGGTCCCGGGCAGCTCTTGCCTGGCCGATTTCGACGCTGCGCCGAGTGGGCCCCGCGCGCCATGCGCGCCGCGCATGGCCCGTGGACTTCCGCGTTGTGCTGCCTTCACTCGTCCTGCTCTGCCCTTGGTGGCTGGGGCAAAGCAGGACCCCGCTTTTTGGCGACTGCGCCCGCGCCCCCGGCTGGGCCGCGCGCGTTCTAAGGCTCGCCGTAAGAGCCGACGACGTCGCCCCAACCCCCGCGGCACTTGAGGCACCGCGCAGTGATCTCGAGCGCGCGCCGCCCTCCTCAGCACCGCGCCCATCAGCGGGGCCGCGATCTCCAGGAGCTGCACCTGTGGCGGCTGCTGCTGTCGCCACTGCAAGCGCCGATGTCGCGTCGAAGCTGCCGCCGCCTGCGTCGCGCCCCAGGGCCCCCGCCTCGCGCGCGCTGCCCTCGCTTCCAAGGAACCTAGTTGGGCAGCCTCACCCGAAGATCAGCCGCAGCTGGCTCCTCAGCTCGCCCGGCTCGGTCCAGTGCATGTCCACGACGTTGTGCCATTCGTAGTCGTTCACCGAGCTCAGGTAGCGGAAGAAAGCCCGCCTCCTCCATCGTGGCTTGCTCCACGCCGTCTCGCACAGCTTCTCTGCAGTCTGCCGCCTAGCCGACGGGGCGCCGTTCGAGTCGCGGTGCTTCCTTCGCAAATCTTCAACCATCTCCTGGCTCTTTGGTATATCGGAGACCTTCATCAGGTACGGTACACACCACACCAACCACTCCTCGACGTCCAGGTAATCCTCGCCACGCAGATCGTGGATCCAGAGGGCCGCCCATCTCCCCAACTTGTCCATCAAATCGCGACTGATGCTTCCCGCTTCTGAGCCAGGTATGGGATCTGGCGGCAGCCCCATGGCCTGACTGCCCTCATCCCTGTGGATGGTTGCCGTCGCGTTCTGACCATGTCCTGTGGCGGCGCGAGAACAAGGAAAACCGAGAAACACCTCCGAGTTCGATCCTGACCAGCTCGCGTGTTGAGGCCGCGGGTGTGTTTCTCACTTGCGTTCTGACCGTCAGGCGTGTCGGCACAAGCTTTCTGACTGCCAGTCGAGGCGGCATGGGATCCGAACCGCTCGGGGAACACCTATAGGTTCGATCCTGACCGCTCCGCGCCCACACCCTGAGTTCCTCCAGAGCCTGCTGTCGTAGTCGCCTCCCGCGCGGCTCTTGCCCAACGTGGCATGGGCGCCTCCGTTACGTCGTACGTGGGATCTGCCTTGGCTGCCGCCAGCTGCAATGTTAAGCTCTTGCCCCCTTTCGAACCTGGTACGATATTGTCTGCCGATCGCCGTAGTCGTCGCAACTGATGGTCTGACATTCCCAAACATTTTCGCCCGTACAACACCGAGGGCTTGAGGCCCCACTTGTGCACCAGGCCCGACCCACGCGCCATGGCACGCCCTCCGCGCTGCAAATTGCAAAGCCGCTTGGTACGCGGCGCCATCTTCCCAAATCGTTTGCCGCTTTTCGTCTTAGCCGAGGTGCCGTTGACCACCATCTCGACCCCCCAAATAGGGACTCGCTGTGACCATTGGCGGCCCTCGTACAGCCGTGTCTTCGACCACCGCCTTCTTGAGTCACTTGGGGCTGGTCATGACTGCGCCACAAGGCCCCAAGAGGCCCCCAAGAGGCCTCGAAACAGCCCTCTCACCAGCATTGCCTCCAGGCCCCCGAGAGGCCTCGACGAGATCCCAACGAGCATCCAATATGCCTCATACCCGCAACCAAGGCACGGTGGCGGGATGGGCAGAAGGCCAGTTGTTGTGTTGTTGTTCTCTCTCTCTCTCTCTCTCTTTCTCTCTCTCTTTCTCTCTCTCTCTCTCTCTCTTTCTTAATACATATCTAATAGTTAATTCATGCGTATGCGCATTTGGGAGCAAGCCAGGTTGAAGCAAGAAGGATGCATACACATATGACGGGTGGTGGCATGAAGAGAAAGAGAGCACGGATAATGAGAAGATGCGGGTCGGAAGAGGAGCAAGAGGCGCGGCGGCAAGAGGGCGTGGAGGGGAAGAAGAGCAACGAGCAAATGCTCGTCGACATGATGGAAACGAGAGGTGGAGACGGCCCAGCAAGACTGCGTCGTATTCCTCATGATCTGCGTCCTCTTAGCTATTCTGCGCCTGATCCGTCGAAGCGCAGAAGCAGGGGCGGCGCGGTTCCAAGGGTCACTGTCCGAGTCGGAGAGGTCAGGCCCGGGGACGCAAGATGCCTCGGGAGGGGGGGGGTGAGACGAGACACGGGTAGAGGGAGAAGGGGGTGAATGAGTTGGGAGGGAGGGATGGGGGAGGGAGACGAGGGTAGGAGAGGTTCGTGTCGAGCCGACTTCGGCGTTGGTTTCTGACACCGCGGGGACCGTTCGACCTAGAACGATCGGCCGTTTCCGAAACGTCAATTCTTTCAACATCGACCGATTCTGGATCGCCGGCGGCGTCCAGCGTTGAAAGCTGGCGGCGGGTTCGCCGCTGGTCGACACTACACGGACATACCGTATGAGAGGAGACTGAGGAGGGGCACGTGGAAGCGGGAGCCGAGGGATGGACAGTGGTCATGCTGCGGCGTTCTGAAAGACCGCCGCTGGCGACAAGGCTACGGTTCATGATGCGCTGGGGCACCGCGAGGCCATCGCTATCGCTGCAGGCGACGGTTCTATGCAAGGTAAGGCGCATTCGCGACACTGGCCTCGCGACCTCGTGGCCAGGCCATCGACACACGAGCCTCTTGAGGGTGTCCTGGCTCTTGGGGAGCGGTTGGACAGAGACACCGCCGTGGTGAGGCTCTCCAGCGGGTGGTCGACCTGGTTGCGTTCTCGGCCTTCGGGTCCTCCTCCTGCTCCTCACCTCCTGCTTCTCCCCCTTCTCTTCATCCGCCCCTCCTCCCCCAACCCAGTTCATTGCTCCTGCTCTTCTCCTCCTCCTCCTCCTCCTCGTACCCCTTTTCCGTCGTCCTTCTCCCCTCTCCCCCTCCTCGCCAGCTAAGTGTAGATACTGAGATTCTCTCTCTTCCCTCCATCTGGCGCCAGTGGCGAGATGACTCCCACGTGGCCCTCGCGCCCAGACGCCGAGGAGGACGAAGGGGCCGGGTAGGCCTCCGTGCAGAACGCCCAGCAAGGCGCATGAAGCGTAGAGACGATGCCCTGGGCACGAGGGCAGGCACCCGAACACCGCAGGCGTAGGCACCAGCCAGCGAGGGGGGGGGGCGCCCCAGACAGAAGCCAAATCTCCTGTGCCTGCAGTCATCTCCTCCTCCTCCTCCGAATCTTCCTCCTCCTCCTCCTCCTCCTCCTCCTCCTCCTGCTCCTCCTCCTCCTCCTCGTCCTAGCCTCGTCCTGGCGAACAGGGTCGGCGGCACCGGCCGTAAGGCCTTCGCAATCTCCTGTGCCTGCAATCGTCTTTAATGATGGCGACGAGGGGACAAGCCGGGGGTGAGAACAGACAGAGACTGCACGGACACCCTTCTGGAGCCTGCTGGGCCCCCGCGAACGTAGTCAGCGAGAACGAGAGGTTATATATATATATATATATATATGTAGGATCCATTGGGGACGGCACGCTGCAGCAACTGTTCGGGATCATCGTCGATATGGCCACGAGCTTGTCTTTTGGGTGACCCGGAAGGGGGTCCAGCTGACAGGGGGTGGTGTAATAGATTTGGAGCAACTGTATTGCAGATGTATTGCGCCAGATTGTGTTGCATTGTATTGCAAGTAATGTATTGCACGCCAAAGTACAGTAATACATTTGCACCCCGACATGTATTGCACGCCCCAAATGCCTTGCAACCCCGCAAATCTATTGCACCACCCACTTGTCGTTGGACCCCCTTTTGGGTCAACCCGATGTCTGCAGTGAGATCCTCCAGGACCGTGCTAGCAAGCTACAACTGAAGAGTTCACAAAATCGTGCGGTCACCCCGAATCCCCATTGACTCACCACACGGTGTGGTCACCGCACCGTTTGGGCCCCCCCGCTCGCTGCGGGTCCAAAACGCAAGATCGATCAGCACCGAATCGGGAATTCGCATCGAATCAGGATGTCGGATTGGGCTGCATCGGTACGGAATCGAAATCGAATCGGATTGTCGGCGCCAGGGTGCTCAACAACGCCACGCAACCATCGGGCCACATCGGACCGCCTGAACATCGGGATCGAATCGAATCGGGCCGGCAGGAATCGACACCGAATCGGATGAATCAAATCGAGATGGGCCCTGAAACGTCGCCCCGCCGCTGACCGCCGCCGATGGCAGGCCTTGGCGGCCCCCGTGCGCGCGGCGACGTCTTGCCCCCTCCGCTCGGGGACGCGCTCACCCGCGTCAGCCAGGGCCGCGGCACGAACCCCGTCTGGTCACCGAGTACGTCCGGACCCGGGCCAGTGTGAGGCGGTGGGGGAAGTTCGGCGCCCCATGGCGTGCCCTGGAATTTGGAATCCCCGGTCGGGGGGCATCCTTCATTTCCGCCTCCCTCCGCCGGCGCAAGCGCCCCTGCTTTACGTACTTCCGCCGCCTTCCGACGAGGAAGGGCTGCCAACTCTTTCGATCCTTCAGGGCAAGTCCTTCTCTGATAGACTCTGACGCCCACCACTGGGGGAAAGAGCAATGACATAAACGTAAAAACTCGGACCTCCGAGTTTTCATGCTTATCTTGATTCTCGCTCCCCTGGCCAGAGTGCTCCCAAGCCCGGGGCAGCCAGAGGGGATCGGCAGGGGTTGGCTGATCCCCGCTAGCGCTGCACCCTTGGACCCACAAGCCCGCGCCGCGCCCTCTCGGCGCCTTGCAGCCCGCGAGGCCGGGCCGCTTCTCGAAGCAGTGGAGCCCCGCTTGCTGGCAGCACCCGGTCGTGGCGCAGTTGCCCCCCGTCCTGCCGCAGCCGGGGGCCCGGAGGAGGAGAGCGAAGGAAGATGGAGGACCAGAGACAGGGGATAGAGGTTTCGACGGTGCTTTTTCCGCTCCTCAGGGCCTCTGACAGCGCACGCCGACCACACGGCTGTCCATCCGTGGGCGAAAGCGGCTTCCCGACGGAGCAGATCGTGCGCTGTCGGCCGAATCCAAGTGGCCGGCGGCGTTCTACCTGGAGCGCCCGCGCTGCATCAACACGGCTCAGGCCTGCCGCATCGGACCGCCCGCGCCGGGGCCGCCCACGGGAGAGTGCGGAATTGAGACGTCGTGCCGGGTTCGGCTTCGGACCGGGACTCTGCCGCTTCGGACTCGGCAAACTCGGCCTGGATCGGCTCGGCTCGGACCCGGCGGATTCAGCAGCAGTCTGGTACCATTCGGGTTGGATTCGGTTTTGGAATCGCTCTTCGCGATGTATGAAGCAAGGTGTTCTGAATGTGGTGGCACGGGAAGTTTCTCGTGAGCCACAGGCCCTACGAGGCCTCCAGGCTGCCTTTGCAAATATTCACCAGCTAATGCACCACGTGTACAGGGTCCATTTGCAATGGACACGTCGACTGAGGCCTGGAAGGCTGCGAAAGATGGAGCAGCGAAGATGGGGCTTCAAGGACAACGGAGATCAAGCGATCATTCCATTGGGGTTCATCGAAAAGACTCTTCACTTCCTGTTGAAAAGAATGGGCGAGCGTGCTGCAGAACGACGATCTGCTGTCTGCCGCCAACTGGAATGCCTGGAGCACATACAGGTGAAGCGTGCTCGGGGCAACCAAAAGGTACTGATACCCCTACTCCCTGGACCTCTCCCGGGGTGCGTTCTGACCAGAATTTCGTGGCGAATCCAGCGGTGGCGACGAGGACCTCCCGGGAGGCCCAAAAAGGGGAAAGCGACGGAACATGTATAGGTATGGGTATGGTCGGACCTAGGACAGAAGAACGTCCTTCAAGACCATAAGATCCTCCACTGGCCCAAGCTGAGGATCCTTCGAGGGTGCCCTCCACCAGGATGCACAAGAACATCCAGCAGACACGGAGAACGTTAGGGCGCCCCCCCCGAACCGACCTCGACCTCATACCTCGGTCCGACCGTACATGATCCTCCTCTGCGTGCTGTGCATCTGTCGGGGGCGCGCAAGCATGGATTAGCGATCCATAGATTTGGCGCGCGGCCGCCAAGTACATGGATCGGGGGAGGTGCCCTCCCCAACATGCGGCCGGTGCCGCCTCGCTCGGCGGTGGAAATCCGCGATTTCCTATGGAAACGGGACCCGTCGCTAATCCACGCCCCCTTGCCAACAACCAGGAGGAGGAGGAGGAGGAGGAGGAGGAGGAGGAGGAGGAGAAGGAGGCGGAGGAGGAGGAGGATGGAGGAGGAGGAGGCCTACGGGAAGGAGGCGGAGGAGGAGGGGAAGGAGGAGGAGGAGGAGGAGGAGCAGGAGGAGGGGAAGGAGGAGGAGGAGGAGGAGGAGGAGAAGGAGGATGAGAAGGAGGAGGAGGAGGAGGAGGAGGAGGACATATCCACTGGTTGGGGAGCGCAGCCCCCGATCAGAAGCGCCGATGCCGCCCGATTCGGCGCCCCAGTAAGCCGACTCTGCACCTGGCCATCGCTCAGACGTCCATCCCATGTGCTTCTTTCGGCTCCGTGCGCGGCCTTTTCGCCAAATGATCAGGGATGCTCCTCGATGGTCCTCGTCGAAGGAAAAATGCACACGTCCGAGCGATGCCAAGGCACTCCCAAGCCTTATGTTGCTCCCACCGTACTTAAGGACCACATCCCAGAAAAAATGTCGAGCACCCGGAAAAGTGTCGAAAGAGTGTCGAAACAATGTCGGACGAGTGTCTCCCAGGGCCCGGCAGGGGAAAACCGGTGAGCTTAGGTACTTTTTTTCCTGGCGCCCACAATTCTTTCTGGTGATCAAGGCTAAAACAGGTTGGAGCCTCATAACCCAAGCCATGATGGCGCTTCCCCGTGATCGGAGTGGCGCCACGCTCGAGCGAGGAAAGCCCCCGGGGAACGAGACACCGTCGGCCCGCGAGAGCCCGCCGGCCTCCTCCACCCTTTGCGTGCGCCGAGCCTGAAGAGAGCGAGAGAGAGAGAGGAGGAGGAGGAGGAGGAGGAGGAGGAGGAGGAGGAGGAGGAGGAGGAGGAGGAGGAGGAGGAGGAGGAGGTCGGCCTCTCGGATACCTCGAGGGTGAGGCCCTCCATTGAAAGGGGCCCAGGGACACACGAATGGACAAGACACAGCTCCCAGGATTGCCATCGCCTTTCACTCTGCTCCGGATGTCCCTCCCGCAGCCATCTCTCGCAGCTCCGCACGCTTCCTGGGGCATCGACGACTCTTTGTGTCTCTGTCTGCTGTTCCCTCCTGACCCTTGGAGCGACGCCGCACTGCTGCGTCGGCGGCCACGTGCCCGGTGACAGCGGGGGTGCCACGCGCGGCAAACGGAAGAGCAGCCAGGGCCAGGAGCAGCGCCGGCCAGGGCGGCGAGAGTCGGGCACGTCCCCTTACAGGCGGATATTGGGTGACAACTTCAAAATATGCAACAAATACCCCCAAGTAGCCAAAACATAATCAAAAGCAGCACTCTTTTTTAATTTTACTCTTTTTGAATATTCCCCCTGTACAGGGACAGGCCCGACTTACAGGGAGGGGCGAGCGAGAAGGGCAGGGGGCAGGCACGGAGGAGCGGCGCCCCACACGAGGAGAGCCCTCCGGGGACCGAGGGCCTTCCAACCCACGAACAACAGCACCCCCGCGAGCCAGGCCTCGGCCACCCCCAGGCACGACACTGCCGGCCCCTGCTGGCGACCCCCCTGCGCCCTTCCTTGCCGTGGCGTCCTTTTTCGTGGCACTGGCACGATCGGGATCCACTCTCGGCGGCGCGCCGACGGGAGACGTGAGAGGGGGCATGCCTTCTCGGAAGGCGGCGGGGGCTCTCAGAAGCCCTCCGGCCTTCTGAGAAGCCGCGGCCGGCTTCGGAGAATAATCTGAAATCTAAAAACTTCTCAGAGAGGCCAGAGGCCTTCTGAGCCGTCTGAGCAAGCCCGCCCCCTTTGCCTGCCCCCCCTGGGCGCGCCGCCGACATTCGGCTTCGGTCCCCAAGTCCCTCTCAAACGCCCCCCCTGACCGATAACTACCTCGTGCCGAGGCAAACCGTGATGTCGAGGGGTGCGAAGAGGGGGGGCAGGGAGGAGGCCTCTCCCCTCTCCTTTCCTCCTCCTCCTCCTTCTTCTCCACCTCCTCATCCTCCTCCTCATCCTTCTCCCTCGCTCCTCCTCCTCCCTCCTGGCTGCTTGTCCCCCTCGATACCCCTCCTCATGCATGAGTCGACGGCGGATGCGGTCGCGGAAGGGGATGGTAATGACTATCACCCGACCTCGTGTGAGGGCAGGCCCTTTTTCGGCAGCTCGCGCGCGTGCTTCGCGATGCCGGGTCTGAGTCTGCCTGAGGAGGAGGAAGATGAGGAGGAAAAGGGCGTCCACGTCCTCCTTTCTTTCATCGTCGTCCTCCACCTCCTCCTCCCTCTCCTTTTTTTAACTATCCCTGGAGACCTCCAGAAGCAGCTCGGGACCTCCAAAGACCTCCGGAGGGAGAGAACGAGAGAAAGAGAGATACAGAGAGAGAGAGAGAGTGAGAGATGGTAGGGGTGGACGATGGGGAAAAAAAAGTGAGGAGCAGGGTGGAGGAAGAGGGCGGAAAGATGATGGAGAAGGACCGAAGCATGAGGGACGAATATGAATGGACGAGGATGATGATGAAGATGAAGTTGAATATGATGATGGTACTGATGCTGATGACGAGGAGAAGGATGATGTAGATGAGGATGACGTTGAAGATGATTTGGATGATGAGGATGCTGATGCTGGTAATGATGATGATGACGATGCTGATGATGATGCTGATGATGATGATGATGCTGATGATGATGCTGCTGCTGATGATGATGCTGATGATGATGCTGATGCTGATGCTGATGCTGATGAGGAGGAGGAAGAGGAGGAGGAGGAGGAGGAGGAGGAGGAGGTGGAGGAGGTGGAGGAGGAGGAGGAGGAGCGGCAGTGCCTTCCGGGAGAGGAGGGAGGCATGGCTGGGCAGGAGCACGGGGGAGCGAGGAGCAAGGAGCGGTCGTCGCGGCAGGCGGGCGCCCCCCCCCCCCCCCAAACCACCTCGCGGGGCAGGGCGTGCCGGGCCCCTCGTCCGCGCGCGAGCGCCGCGGCGACGCGGCCCGCGCGCCCGAGGGGCCACTTCAAGCGTCGTTCTCGCCCTCCTCGAATGAGATGCCTCGGGGGCTCCGGGTCGAAGGGGGGCGCGAGAAGGAAGAGGGAGGGAGGGAGGGGAGAGAGGGACGAGGAAGATGATGAAGAGGAGGGGGGGAGGAAAAGGGGAAGATGGGGGGGGAAGAGGAGTCGAAGCAAGGGGGGGGAGGAGGGGTAGGAAAAGGAGCATGAGGAGGAGGAGGAGGAGGAGGAGGAGGAGGAGGAGGAGGAGGAGGAGGAGGAGGAGGAGGAGGAGGAGGAGGAGGAGGAGGAGGAGGAGGAGGAGGAGGAGGAGGAGGAGGCGGGAGATAATAAAGATGTGGCAACTGACCTCGCTCTCGAACACGGGTTGCCTGTCGGGCCCTTGCCCGCGCGGCCCCGAGCAGATAGGACCCCAAGACGGCGCGCAAGCAAGGGGGCGCCCTGCTTCGGGAACCAGAGACTACTCCGCATCTTTGCGTCGGAGGGTTAGGAGAATGAGCGGGATTGCGCTCAAGGTGCGAATTTGACACATCACTCCTTTTCCCACCGTCCCCACGACGACGGCCACGACCCCTAACGCTCCCCTTCGGATAGCAGCAGCACGGAGAGCAATCACCGTCGGGATGGCGTGGAGCTCGCGGGAAACATCAATCGTCATGGCCGACCCTGCTGCAACACATCACCGGGAACGACGTCTCTTCCTAAACAATACTTTAAGCGATCAAAGTCGGCCTAATGGAAAATATCGGATTTCTGTGAAGCAGGGCTTCGCGAACCGCAACTACTTCAGACTCGGCCTGCCTCGAATTCCAACGTGCCTGGGTGGCGGCACTCTGGGCGGCATGATTAGCTACGACGCTGACTGCTTGTTTGGGGGCGAGGTCCTGGCTGGGAAAGCTCGACTCCTGAAAAGAAAAAATCGGTCGGTCATCCTCATCTCCAACTCATCGCTGATATTCGACTTGCAAGCTGATCCATCTCTCCGGTGGGCCCCTGGGTGCGGTCCCTGGAACTGGCGCAGTCTTCTCGATCGAAGTGAGATACTCCAGGAGCATGGGCCACAAGTCCCTGGCGGCCTCGACGTCCTTGTTGTTGAACGCAATGCTGAGGACTCCCACGGCCCCCTCGTCTGGGCGGCCTTCTTTACGCTTGCACTGGATCACGAGTAGGACCTGCTATTGAGGATGTTGCTTCTCCGCTCTAGCCGACCAAAACTCGCTGGGCGCCTTGTTGCCTGCCTCGTTTGGTGAGTCTCCGATTACCGATGCTTCGCCGCGCGAATTATCGAGCGAAGGGGGGCCTGTGCCGTTCCAATGGATGCGGTCGCCTGTCTTTTTCGTTGTCTTCTACGGAATTGGGGCGCGTCGTCGTGCTTTTTGTTGCTGCTGGCGCGGTCCATCCCGAGGAGGTCCCTGCCCTCGCCCACGAGACTGGCGCGGTGGGCAACGCTCTTCAGCATCGCCGCCTGGCGTTCGATGCGTGCCGAAACCTTCGCCGCGCCGTCGACGAACGTGTCGCTCGGGCCCCTCTTGGCCTTCTTGGCCTTCTCGGCCCCGGCCCCCGGTGCAATGGCAAATCGCCTGTCTGGTGGCGCCATCCGGCCGGCGGCGCGGAGGCGTCCGACGTCGCGACTGCCCTCCGGGGGGCGATCCTCGCAGCCCCTGGAAGGCTTGGCCCAGAAACGCAGGCGCGGGACGAGATGCGCGCGCAGGTCGGCGCAGCGGGCCCCATTGAAGTCGCACGTGGGGCACTTGTTACTTGCAGGTTCGATGATCCGATGGAACATCTAATCATAGAGGCACTGCAAGGGTCGCATTGGCAATGCAACGCGACGCTCTGCAGCTGTCGGCTGACCGTGGCCCAGGTAGAGACCGCCCCGTGGCATACCAAGCGGGCGTTAGTGGGTGTAATGCGGCGTGCCAGGCTCCGCGCGTGATGACTGTGCCATTGGCGTTCGGAGACTTCTTTCTCAGTCGTGAATCTAGGCCCGAGCTCCGCCCCTCTTCGTGCATGCGCGCGTAGTGTCGATGCGCGTTTGCGCGTTCTCCTCCTCGCCCCTGCCCGCCCCGCCTCCCCCGCGCAGATGGCCGAGCCATGGGGGGGGGGGGGGGTTCGCGGCGGAAAAGGCGAAGCGCGGCACTCGACGAAACCGACCTCGAGGGATCCCCCCGCCGTTTCCTCCCCCCCCCCCACAAACTTTCAGGGGCGCCGCCCCTCGCTGCGTCGGATAGCGAGTCGCCAGCGGTCAGGGCAGGTGGTGGCGGCGGCGAACAAGTCGAAGCGCATCTGTTCGGCCCGAGGAGAAGCCAACGGTGGCAGACCGTTCCCTGGACAACAGTGGCCAGAGGCATCCGAGCATCCGTTTCGAAGTGGGGCGAGGAGGAGAGGACTGCGCAGATCCGTTAGTTTTGTTTGTCGTCGCGGGGTCTGGTCCAGGCCTGGCGCCGCGAGAGGCGCCTCGATCGAAGCTCGACCATGCGCGGCGCCACCTGCCAGGAAGAGAGCACCTGTGTGTCTGTCAAGGCGCGGCGATGCTGCCCAATTTGGGAGGGCGCGCGCCCATCGGGACGTCGACTGCCCGCGCCAGCGCGGGGGCCGCCTCGGCGATCGGGTTTCCGACCTGGAATGGGATCGCGCGGCGATTGTCGCCCGCGCGCGGGCGGCGCGGAAGGTCGACGCCATCCTCGCGGCAGCCGCCCTGCAGCAGCCCAGGGGCCACGCGCTGGGCATCGCTTAACCGACCCCCATCCACAGCGGCGCGGCCTGGGCGCCACTGGCAAATTTAACTGGATATAAGTCGTTCCCTTCCTTCGGGTTTCGAAGGGTGCACCCCAACTACTCTGGGGGGGGGGTAATTCGACAGGGATCTCGAAGGAGATGGGGATGGGGGTGGGGGTTGGTTAAGCGATGCCGACGTGCACCGCGGCGGACCAGGCCGCCGCGGGCCCGATGAGAGCTCCGTCGGAAGCGCTCACAATGAAGGAGTCGCCCCTGACACTGCCCACCCTGGGCGTCATTTAGAAGCGACCCTCGTTTCACATCGCCTCGATAACGCCGCCCCTGTAGCGATCCTGGCATGGCGCCCAGTCCTCGGGCTCGGCGCAACTTTCCGCGTCGCGACCGAACGCGTGCCCGGACGCGCTGTGGGGGGCGGCCGGCAGGTCCTCCATCGCGCTGGCGAAGCGGACTTTACAGTGCCTGAACCCCCCCATGAACAACAACACATTGCGTCGCCAATTGCGTTTCTTCGCGCCGTTTGTGTTAGGCGAAGCAGCGTGCTTCAACTGGTATCCGAGCTCGAAGTCGATCAGCGAATACCCTTGCCGATGGCCGACAGCGAGCGGCCCGCCCGCTTCCCGAGAGTTCCTGGCGTGGCGCCCCCCTTCTACTGCCCGCCCCCCATGCTCCGAGTCCGATGCAGTAGGCCCAGATTGGTGGTCTGCATCCTCGTCTATCCCAACAATGCGAGCTCATTGAAGGCGGTAGCGCGCACAGGTTCGAATTGGGCTCCAATCCCATGCCCCCCAGTCTTCCCGACCAGCGGCAACTGGGGGAGCTGTGGTCCTTACCCCCCTGGGGCGCCCATCAGATCCAAGATTTGCTTTCCTGGTGCCCCCGCTCTCTCGATGAGCGCGACCAGCGCGTCGGCCATCGCGCCGGGGGTCGCTGCGCGCGCAGCGAGTGGGACATTTTGAGCTGAACCATTACGCGGTTTGTTGGGCGCGGCTCGCACAAACTGACAGACGTTGCCTGCTCAACCGCGTCGCGCACGCCGCGCCAAACGAGCGCCCCCCACAGCGCAGGTGCGATTACATGTTATCGGCGCGCACGTGCCAGTGTCAGACGGAAGTTCGCTCGCGATCCCGAGTGGCGCGGGCGATCGCCTGAACTTGGTTGCCGTCGGCTTCGCAAGCTCGGTTGAGCATGCGCTCCAGCCCGTGCAATGCCGCCCCGATTCGTCGCGTCTGGATGCGGGGCGCTGCGGCTAGGTCCGCCAGGGCCTGCAGCCGCGAAGTTCGAACCGCGTTTCGCGGGGACTTGGTTGCAGAAGTCGGCAACTCATCGGAGATCTTTCTCGGCGCATTCTATGCTTGCGAAGATCGCGCGAGCGGGAATTCCCGATCGGTGGCTCGCGCGCTGCCAATGCAATGCCAGATGAATATGTGCCTCTGCGCTGCGTGGAGGCGCGCTCGCCGGGCTGCGCGGGCGCGATAAAGGGGGGCGTTGAAAGCGCTGTGGTCGTAGGAGCTGGGCGCGGTAGCTGGTGTCGAAGCGGGGGGCGGTCGTTCTGCCTGTTTCTCCGCTTTCAGGCAGCGTCTCCCGTCGGCCAAGGGCCTCCGTGTATGGCGGCCAGAAGTTGGGGGCGCGTAGGCCGTCAAACGGCATGGCATGGGTTACGGGGGCGCCCTGGCCCGTTGCCACCGGGCGGCGGGCATTGGCGCTTGATGCGGCCCGGTCAGCGGCGTCGGGGCCCTCGGGCCCCCGCAGGACAGGGCGCCGCCAGGGGGGGGGAATGCTTCGGGGGCGCGGGCGCGGGTTCCAGAGGACTCCAAAAATATCCGTGCAAGCTTGTTGCAGGCACCGCCGCGGTAGCCTTTCCTAGTAGTGCCCCCCTCGAACGATGCTGCCCCTGGTCTTCGCGACAAGGCCGCAGGGGGCGGGGCCAGTCCGGCCCCCTTTTGCTATGCCTGGAAGCGTTCCTCTGGGGGGCGAAAAAGCATGCCTAGTAGGTGTTCCTCAAGCGGGCGAAGAAAGCTTACCTGGTAGTGTTCCGCTACTGGAAAAACTGACACTTTGGAAGCCCCCCGGGGAAGGCACAAGCCACTTTGGCGGAGGGAAAAAATCGACGCGCAAGGGTTGCGCGGGAGATTTTGGGCGGCCGAGCGCCGCCCCCTGGCCCCCCCGCCCTCGCGCGTCGTCATTGCGGAGGACCAGCGCGAGGACGTGTCTGGCACGCCCGTTCCTCCTCCCCCTCCCCCCTGCCCCCCCGCTCCTCCTCCAAATTCCTTTCGCCCCGCTCCCCCCTCTCCACGTCGCTTCTAT